AAGCATTGCAGACATGTTTTCCCACCGAAGTCATGTAAATTTAACCACCGCATCACGGAATACCGTTAAGTCCATTGCGGTTATACTTTATAACCCAGAGGGTGACAGTTCAATAGTGCGATGACGACAATACGGCAGTGTGATAACGCGATGGCGACAATACAATACCGCAATGGCGACAACGAGATAGTACTATCGTCCTGTCGTCATCGCACTGTCGCCATCGCATTATAGTAAAGTCGTCATCGCATTGCCGCCAAGTATAACTTTGATGGCCCGAACGGTATTCCGTACCGCAGGCATTGACAGTTTGTCAAGTGTTGTAAATGTGATACATTCAATGTAAAAAAGACCGTATTAAATTCTGATACATTTTTTTACATGCGGACATATTTCCCCTACGGCTTTCGCCCTACTTGAATACTAGTAATGGATTTGTCTCCGATGAAAACATCTGCTTGGAGATACATGTATGTACCTAAGTCCATTTATAGACATCAACCTCAATACCTGTGATTTTGAAACCCCACTAGTAACTATATCACCATACACTTTCTTCCCATAAGCACCACTCCCTACCAACCCCTTACTCCGTTAAATATAATTGGACATCCATCACCATGACCCATTGAATGCATCGCATCGCCTCCCAATATACACATGTATCATATCAAATTATTACCATTCTTATTTAAGTAAAAATACGTAGTTATCAAATTGATATACATGTACATATAAGAAATAATGTGTCAAATTTCATTTCAATTTAAATTTAAGATTGGCATACAGAAACAGCTTAATGTTCGCTTTTCCACTTAGAACTAACCAATACTGGCTCCATAAAAGGTATAATGCTTCTGTGACGTTAACCCAAAAAGAGCTCGAACTCGCAATAACTAGGTGGCTTTTTTGCGGGGGGGGCACCATTATAACTTCCATAAGGGCTTTAACCGATACGATGTGTATATATGAAAAAAAATCAAAAATGAAATATAAATCGGGCTCCAAAAATATGCTTCTTAAGTGACCCAAAATTTTACCGGTATAAATAACCTGAAATGCCCTTATTCTGTAACTTTATATTTTTGGGGTGTATTTTTGCAGTGGATTTGGATTTTAACAACAAAAAAGAAGAAACTTGTGATAAATTATACGTTAAACGCTTACACACTAAGTTTAAACTAACAATGTAAAGTGCAGCTTTCCTTACCGTCTATAACTGAGATTATATTCAAGTGTTATATCCGGGTGCATAAACTACATTCATACAAGTGTCAATAGCTCTTACATCCGGGTATGATATCATTATTGCGCATAAATTTATACTAGGACAAAAAGACAGCAGTCCTATATCTTATCGAACCTTGAAAGTAATTGACGTACAATGTAGTTAAAGAATGTATTTTTGAATGCGATGAAGGATATGTTGACCCTTTGTTTTCAATAAAGCGTTAAAAAAAGAAGTTATTTCTTGTTGACGTCAAATTTATCTAATAGTGAAAATGAGAACCCCTAAAGAAAGTCCAAAACGACAAAATTGAAATTGTTGCAGGCTCGGTTTGATTGAGCCAGTTCACTGTAAAGTGCAAACTACCGTCCACGTTCTCTAGTACCGGCTTAAGAAGAACATTTAAACATATAATGGTAAAATGCTGAATTTAGAAACATCCGTATGAACAGATGTTTTCATACGGCGGTTATCATGGAACCATCAATGTGACACTACCGTGCCATTCCATGAAATGCGGCGTATGGTCCCCTAATTAATTGAAAGCGTGTGCCCTAAACGAGAAAACAATGGGCAGAGTAAGTTTTACAAAAGAAAATGTGTATTTTTAATTTGCATAAATCATTGTTTTGAAAAATATTAAAATTTTGTTTAGAAAGAAATGTGAAAACGATATACAATTAAAATACAGTACGGATGCTTTGTGGGTTTTAACATACATTTTTTGTTTTGCTTTTTTCATTGATATTTTTGTGCTAATAACAATGCCGTCACAAGGTAAATATACCTTTTCAAGTAACATAAAAGTAACTACAAACATATGAAAAATCGTTTATTTTATGAAACGACCAAGTCTTTATACTTGACAAATTGATAAACCAACGACTTTGTATTAAGAATACTGTATAAACGTGCATTTTTATCTAAGTGTGAAGAGTTTTGAGTAGTTTTGGTAACGAATTCATGTGATGATTTTTAGACCACTTTATTTTCTGCTATATATAGATATATATATATATATATATTATACCAGATAATTGATCTGATATATACGAATACCATTGGTGCTAGGGTGCGTGAGGGATGTTGCACATTTTCATTATCCCTCATGTACAGACTAAGCCAAACCGAATCTACAATTTTCATGTTTGATGTGATTATTTGCTTCAGGAGTATCACACTTTTGCCAAATTGTTTTCCTTGTTTTATGTTGCGTGTGACACAGATACTTTCACATTAATATGTGTCATTTAAAATACCTTTTATTATAGACCCATTCATTTTTAAACTATTGAGGTTCACCCATGTATAGTGTACCGATCGTGACAATTGAATATGTAGATATCGTCACTTTTTATAATCTTTGAATCAAGTCAAAGTCAATCTTAGAATCCCAGAAAGATACTTAAGTAACAACTATTCATGGGTTTATCCTTATTGTGAACACAATAATCGTCTCAAGGATTTGCATACAACAGAAATCGGCGCAAGTCGGAACAGATGAAAGAAAATTTAAAGTTTCGATAACCAACACAAAGTAATACCTCACTCGGATATTCTGCATTACCGCACACTAGCTCGTATACATCTTTATTGGAATGTTTTATGTCGAAAAAGAATCAATTTGAAAATGGCCTTAAATTCGGTTAAAAACGCCTTCTAATATTAAAACGACATGTATATGCGTGAGGAGGTCTTGGTGTTAGATCATGGTTAAGATAAGTCAAACTGATGTGGGTTTAACCCGCCAGGATCTTTAATATGCTTCATATGAAAAGCTATCCAGCTATTCGACTAGCATACGCAAGAAGGTTTTCTACTAGAGATGTTGTTCACTTGTGCCAATAGAGCTCCTGAGTTATCCACTAGAGCAGCTTTGGTGTCACCTAATGAAGCTTACATAACTCAGGTATGTATCTTTCTTGTAGCATCTCTACAGTCACTCTTATCTGGTTTTAAACGATCAAATGATTAATTACCATCACGGTTCAGTGATCTGCTTGTGTGCAGTTTGATGTTAACTTCGTTTTGCTCTTTTATTCTTGTGTGTATGGTTTATTATTTAAGTTTTTTTAACATTAATATTATTATTATTATTAAAATTAGGGCCGTCCGTGGCCGAGTGGTTATCGCCGTTGACTTCAAAACCACTCACTGCTGTTGGTTCGAATCCCAACAGGGACTTTCGATTATTTCATGTGAGGAAGCTATCCATCTAGCTTACGGAACGTCGGTGGTTTTCTATTCAGGCGACCCGTTCGTGCCTGAAAAAGTGTTTGGAAGGGCACGTGAGGCCCGCCTCCAGTAAAGCTGGAAAGTCGCAATGACCTATAATATGTCCGTGTGACGGAAAACCTAAACAAGCAAATTATTATTATTATTACTACTACTACTACTACTACTACTACTACTACTACTACTACTACTACTTCTACTACTACTACTACTTCTATTATTATTTGTGTGTGAGAGAGATTTTACGTGCGACAATAATGTAAAGATATCATTTTACGAAATGATTTCAAATAGGAAATGATATTACATACACAAATATATATTAATATTTACGAAATGTCACGAAACATGCAAATTTGGTTACTTGAAGGAAAGAGAATGGTTGAGATTACCAGATTGTGTAATATTAAACTTGATTTATAATTAAAGATAACAATTATCACACGGAAACAGAGGCTAATTCATTACCTATAGCACGTTATTGCATATTTCCGTTCAGGACTCGAATATGACGAAATAGGTTATATATTAATCTTTAAGTGTAAAACGAAAATTAGTTTTAAAGTATTTATTGAATTACAGTCTAGTTGTTGAATATTTAATTTGTGTTCATTGCGCTGGAAAAGCATTTGATATAATCATATAAAGGTAGAAAGATAAAATATTTTACTTAAATTTTGGTGACACTAGCATTTTTAAGCTAATTTTTTTTTGGTAAATAATTATGGATGTTATTCAAAATTGCACTATTTTAAGTTTAACCGATAACTGGATATCAGTTTAATTCTTTTCACTATTATCTATTTATTTATTTTTCTTCCTAATTTCTAAGTTTTTTCTAGGAGGGTTGAGATATTAATTTGCTAATTGTGCCAGTGTGCCAACTGTTAAGGCTTTATCTAAAAAAAAAATAGTCTCCAAATTTATTGACCTGTTTATTATCTGGGTAGACTATTGATTTAGTTAAAACAGGATATTATTTTTTGCACGATAATTTGAATGACGTTTCGTAGTTTATAATGTCCTGTATATAGAACTAAGATTACAGAAGGGAAGAGATCTATAGCCCGGTATGTTGACATTATTTTTATAATTTAATATTTTTATTTATTTATTTTATTTATTTATATATTTATGTATTTATTTTTGATTTCGTGTACAATAGTTTGTTCAAAACATATATAAGGCAACTGTATACTGTACATACATTTAATATGATTATGTTTCATTGTAAAAAATAACTTTAAATCTTTATAACTAAAACATGTTTCAATGTTAAAATCACGGCTTTTCGACTTGAAACTTTTTGATAACGCTTTCACGGCATCGTTTGCATTTTAACTATCTTTGTTATTTCAACATTACGACATTGCGGTTTAAAAATATTTCATAGCTGATATAAAGCATGTGTATTGGTTCGTTTTTGCAGCTACCCGATGCGTAAACATATGATGAATTTTATGTCTCATTTATCTTTTAATTTACATCATACTTTGTTTTTTTATACGGCTATTTTTTACATTTATTTTTTCTACATTTTAACGAAATGTCGGTGATATTGACATAAGTTATAGTTGCCGTAAATGGAGCAATTCACCAGCGTGACTAGCAATTTTATTCATTCCAATTTAACAACATCATGTTCAAGAAAAGTCTTAACAAAAAAACGCATTACTGGATAGTTCATTCATACGGGTACTATTACGTAATGTATCTGAATAAATATGAAGTGTTAATATCCATTAACGTTTATTATAAACAGGCATAGTATAATTATAATGGATTTTAAAATTTGGATTTGAGAGGATATTCTACGTATATTTCGTTTGAATATTTGTTAATTTGCTATGCTTATGTACATGTAGACATATTATGATATTATGTTCTTTATTCGTATGTATTATTTTGTTATATTACATGACAGTACATTACGTTATGTTACGTTACGTCACGCCATGTCACGTGATGCCATGTCATGTTATGTTATCTTATTAATCTTTTCATATGGAACAAGCGGTGACTTAACGGTTAAGACATCTGCTAATACATGTACTGATCGTGGATTTGAACCTTATTTTAACCATAACCATTTTGTATCTTTAATATGATTGTAGGTCTTGTTGTTTCAGTGCAACAAACTAAAATAAATGAATTACATTAGTATTCAACATAATTGAGCAGTAGTACATGATACCATGTTCAAACAATTCACTATCAAAAGGCTTGAACATGATCGTCGGTTTGCGAATTCACAATTAAGCCGGAAGAAAAATCAGTTATTCTCGTGAAATCCTTGATCTTAAACATGTTTAAGTGACATTATGCCCATCTAAGAGTAAGTGATGAGTGATAAGGTAAATTCGAAATCACTTTTCATTTCGTCATATTTGCTTTCATTTTAATAATAAAAGTCACCTGAATTATCGGTAATCGCCATTTCATAAATACTTTTAAATTTCCTTCGGTAAAAAGAGTGGGGTAGTATTTTTAAAGTTTAAGCTGTTTTATATCTCATCGTATACATTTGTAATTATCTATTATTGTTCAATCACCATTATAATTGTCAATCTTTTGAAAATTGATAAACAAATATATATATTTATATACTTTAGTCAAGAAATGTGTCAGTCTTTAACACTTTCATACATGTATCTTCTAAATTTAAAGACATATTTTATGTATTTTTGTTATTAGAACCAGATGCATTAATGGACCGTCTTCGAAGGAAAATGTTTCTTACAGTGGTGTTCAGCTGTTTTATACCATGTGGAGCGGCGTTCTGGTACACCGGTTAGTACATCACACAATATATATGAAATGTCTTTAAAATTATATGATATTATTCGCAAATTCAAAACAATATTGTAATGAAATACAAACAAGACTTACCAAATTGAATACTATGAATTACACAAAACGCATTGACAAATGTGTAACGTCTTAGTGTAAAAGTACCATCTCTCAACCGAAAGATCGTGAGTTTGAGCCCTACTGGAGCCACAACCACTTTTCCTCGTATGACTCCCGTACAAGGTTCGGGGAAGCCGACTCAAGAGTTGGAAGCTCAAATTACCTTAACTCAACCATTAATCAATATTATTTAAACAAATGAAAGACCCTGATACGTGTCTGCATTGAATTTTGACATTTAACAATGAATATGTTCAGTGTAGGGTTGAAGAGGGCCCCAGAGTTGTGTCCGCAGTGATTTTTGACATTTAACACTAAATATGTTCTGATATTGGTGTCTGATTTAATCACTTTCTTGAAATCGTCTATCCGCATAACTACGCGCTACCGGCGTGTTTTGTCTTGTTTGCGTTTATTATGGATTCTTTTTCGGTTTATTTACTGTCGTATGTCTTTCGCGCTCAAAATTCAAGTGTTTTACTTGACTGAGAAAGAACATGATGATACAGCTGCAGCCCCATTTCAAAGACAACCTTTGTTCTTGTATACACCTGGTGCACGACATCGAGCAATGGAACATCTATCTTAAATGTCTCATCCAAAATACCATTACCAAAGTAATGAAGCGTATTCTTCGAACAGTTGGCCCGCGAATAAGTATTTCAGCGCGCTAAAACTGGCATATGGGATATCTGCGTTTGCTGCTGTCGCGTTATATCATTTGAATCGGTCCGTTTACTTTACTTGTTTTCGGGCCTCGCAATCCATTTTTTAAAATAATCGATTTGCCCCCTTTATCCCTCTTGCTTACATCACGCAACAAAAAGGTGTAGCGTCATTATTCTTTAAGTGTCGTCATTTTTGTGGGAATTCATCTACATGAAACTCAGAGTTCAACACTTATAGAAAACAATAGGATTGTCCTCGTCTTTTCTTAAGCGTTGTACAAAGTGTAATCCTAAATACTATGTTTCGTTAGTCTTCAGGATAATTTCAAATGATCATAAATACATTTATTACAAGATCGCGTTCAAACAATCACATGGATTCAAATATAGTTCGTGGTGTTAGTAATAGAAAGAGCATCGAAACTCGAGGCTATCTGATTTGTACGAGGGGGCGTAGCCCCCGAGTTTTAATCAGATTGCCAAGTGGTTTGATATTCTTTCTCTTTTGCGTCATAGTCAAACATAAAAACACGCTCCCTGTTGTCACAATATGAAACCCCGGGAAAAAGTAACCAATGAACGAGCATCTGAAGATGATATTTCAGTCGCTTTCCCTTTCTCTTCCGTCACAATAAGTAAACCCTAGCAAAAATGAGCAAATCAATGGGCATGCTCTGGAGTGCGGGAAACTAATACCTGCACTCCAGTTAACGCACTGTGCATGCATATGTATACGATTTAACTCTGACACATTTTCAACAGAAAGGTCACCAAACTATGGAACAATTAACTTTTAGTCGACGTTAAAGAAGGCAGGAAAATGTCATACAAACACATTTTGACGTTCAACATCAAAGGGAAAAAATCGATAATCTTCCCTCGCAATTCCATAGAACACATTGAATTAACGTGTACGTTATTCTTGCAATTAATTCATTAATTATCACACTACATAGTTCGTCCTTTAGTGAAGGGAATTATAGAGCTAGGTAGGTGAACGATAGGTGGCGTTAGGAGGATGGGGAACATACTTGAAGTATAGGCGGTGGTTTGTTCGGATGTATACGATGGGGTGTTTTTCCGGTACAAGAGGAAATAATTGTTACTGGGGCGTCTTCGGAACGATTTAGTCTCTAAGTGAGTGTTTTCTCTAAACCTGCACGAATATATAAAGAAGATTAAGAATATACGCATTCCGATTTAGAGCTGCCCACACACTGATTTGAGTGTTTATGAAATAAGATGTCACCACAAGATAAGCTTTCACCACAGGCTCATACATTTATATGAAATAAGATGATTAATACATGCATTATCTGATGTTAACATCTTTGTAAAGTCTTTGCACCTTTTTCCTTCTGCATTTTAAAACTTTGCAACGTTTATTTTGTTAACATTAACATAATTAAACGCACGCGTTAACTGTTCCGAGTATATCAGTTGTACGCTAGGTATGTATTTTTGTACCCAATATATCATTGGAAGCTATGTTTTAAAAAAGATTAAAATATTAAAAGGTGACATAAAAAAGAACATATTTTTGTTAACTTGCTTTAGAATTGACAGTTATATAGAACTTTCTACCATGCTCGCTACTGGCTAACGGGGGTTATAAACTGCGGCGGCCAGCGGCTCAATTAAAGCATAACAACTGGTAGGATGAAAACTGCAAATTTTACTTATTTCTCCTTTTTTTCCCTTTTAGTTTATAAAATTTTTTTTAGCTTGTGTTGGAAGCCTTAAAATTATTATAACACTCTCGAATCCGTTCCTGGAACCAACTAGTACTAAGCAATGAATGTAAAGTGTCTTGCTAAAGAAAAACAACGGCTTGGCCCTGACAGGGTTTGAATCAACGCGGTCAGCAATCCTTAGGTACTACTCCGACGTGTTAACAACTCGGCCACGCTAATTTCAAAGTGATTTTGTTTGTATAATGCGTTATGTATGTACATGTATGTACATAGTAGTTTAGTATATGACTTAGTTTATTTAAAATGTAGTCAATGTGTTGAATGTGCTTTTTTGAGAGTAACTCAATGTCAATAATTGTTAATACATGTATAAATGATATGAGGGCGAATGCCCTTGACCCCCAAATGCCTATTAAGAGGGGAATAAAGCTACCATTAACAAATTATTTCCTTGTGTATTCAGTAACTGAAAACAAATATGTTGCTGTTTTAAGACCTTATCATAGTGAGAGAGAAGCTTTAAAAGTCAGTTAGATTTTAATAAAATTATGATAGTAAAGCTTTAAATGATATTAATTATTTGTAATCTTCAAAATTCAAATATTTAGGGTTACTGGTATTTTGAAACAGCGTTTGCAAGCACCATGCGTTCAGTGATAGACATAAATGATAAAAGATTGAATTCTCCATTTTTATGCGCCTATTACAATCAACAAGATCGCGACGCGTAAGACGTGTTTATTCCGTCATTGGCGTCACTTTTCTGGATCACCCATTGTTTAAATCAAACATAATTACTGTGGGTAATGTAAAAGTTTACACAATAAAAATATCAAAGTATTCTAAATAGCAAAACTGATCACTTAATGTGTCGTTATCTTTCAACATTCGTTAGCGAAAATCTTATACATTAAACGATCGGCAAATTTACTTTAGATATCCCATATATAGAGGATATTGAATGAGTGTAGGTTTAATACTAAATTTAGTACGAGTTGAATAAAATCATACTATGCGAGTCTCTGGCGAGCATAATATTGTTTTATTCAACGAGTTCAAAAGATTTAAAATTGAATCTACACGAATATAATATTCTATTTATCACATATTCAAAAAGGGAACGGTTTACTGCACGGTTTACAGTTAAAACGAGTCATTATTCATTGATGCGCCTCTAGTGTAACGCTAGCATTAGCGCGCTTTAACGCTATGTGTATATGTAGCGTAAATGACGTCACGTCAAGGTGTTATTACACTAGTGTAATATCGTTTTTATTAAATGGCTTTATTACAATCCCGCGCCGCGTTTTATGTAATAAACACTATAACGAATGCCACGAATTCGTTATTTCAATCAAAACTCTTTATTATTACAAATAATTCATTATCAATTATTTACAGTTTTGAATGTTTGTATGTTAACATGATTAAGTCAACTCATCACTTTATTTCCTTTTGTCTTTTAAAACAGTTAAGAAAAGGTTCGACGGTGAAATCCTTCCAAAAGATCCAACCTTGTGTACAAATCAGAGTATTACATTCACAGCTGTACTTAACGACGATCCAGTAACAAATTACTCCATCGGCTTTACCTATAAAACCAGAGACACAAACGGAGAATACGTTACTGTAGACCAGAATAATGTCACATACATAAATGATACGATGGCTGAATATACAGTGTCCAATATCCCGCCTCTAACTGATCTAGAAAACCCCCACTATATGTTTGTTAACAGCTATTATTGGCAAGTCTTTGGTGATAATAATAATACGTTGCAGCTTGGGAAAACTACCGCAGCACGTATTTTCCGTAAGTTCAGATACTATATTTCTTAGTATTTTAGCGTCAAGGTCAAGGCAATTGATAAATAGAACAAAATATGGTCTGATTTGATAACAAAAATCTGCAGAAATAATGCATATTGCGTGTGATATTTATTGGAAGTAAACTTTAACTAGCTCCAAATCACTTGCAACTTACTACTGTTGACCCGAAAAGGACTTTTGATGGAAACTTCTTCTTTTATCGAGGTACCAGTTCCTGCCCGAAACAAATGCACAAAGGTGCACCGAACTTGTAAAGCTAGAAAGTTGCCATATGTCATGTACACTGTCGTTGCGACATCAAATCCGACAAGTCCAATAAATTAAATTATTATCGGCAACAAAATAATATAAATAAGTTTAACAAACCTTTTTTCACACTCTCATGGTAAACTTTGATGAAACAAAATATAATGTCCCCTCTCAATCACGCATGCCTCACCTTCTTATGTTATGAATACACAATTGTCAAACTTCATCCTCTCAATAAATGTGTCAGAAAATTTTATATCTAGATTACGGAACGGGAACCTGGGGGGGGGGGCATCCGGGGTCTTCTCGGAAAGTCGTCATATGTTTGAGCGACGCAAACCCACCCTTTGACTGATACGAGATATAATGATAGCTTTTTATAACGTCCAAAGTGTATGCATCACATATTAAGTATATGCACACGTTTCTGATTTGGTTCAATCAGGTCTGTTCAGGAGAATATAAAGTATATATGCATGTCTATGGTTGTGTACATCCGACTATATATCATATTGTATAATAACAAAATTGATCGAAAGATTTCTCATTACCATGAGCGTACACTTTGGTTATTCCACAATATAAATAATTTTAGATGTTTCTGCAGCCACTTGATTGTTAATAAACTACTCTTTGTCTACATAAAGCATATTTATTTAACTAAAGCTAATACGTTAAGATTTCAGTCTTGTTATAGAATTGTTTGTATAATTTATGATAAAAGAAATTAATTTTTTCAGCAATGCCCGAGGAGGTTCGTAATTTTGACTGTAAAGTGATGAATTACGAAACGATGAAATGTTCCTGGAACTACTCGACCGACTACGGTTCTTTTATGCCGGAAGTATTTTTTCAGTGGTAAATACGTTTCTTTTATTCAATATATATGTATATATTCCCGATGAAAATTGTATAAAATGAGATATTAAGATATTTACGACACCAATTTATATAAACTTAAAATTGATTATAAAATGTAAGCATCATTGTGAAATGAATCTTAAATAATTTGATTTTGAACTGAAAAAGATATATTAACAACTTAGAATGGATAACAATATTCTTAACAATCTATTACGATGATACGACGGACGATTTGTTCAATGATACGGAAACGCTTTTGCGTTTTAAATTTAAAGAAACTTCTGAAAACCACTATAAATATGTTGTCTATAAATACTGTTTGATATCAGCTTGTTTGCTAATTCGTTTGTTGTTGGAAGTCTTAGTTACTTAGTCTTGTCTGTTTCATTTTCATTATTGTTTATAAGGAGAATATTTAGTGTGTTCAATTTCACAGGAGGAATCCCGTTTACAGTAAATCGTGGACCGAATGTAAATTCTTAAACACACAGGATGGGTATTGCACGTGGAATGAGACGAAGGCTGGCTTTTTCAAAACTTCTAACATTACCATCAGATTGACGTTAAAACAGCCGTGCAACATTAACGTTACTTCTGTGTTCCATATAGATACATCAAAAATAGGTTTGTATAATCATACAATATTTCTGAGACGTACACACACATTTAACTTACCCCTTAGTACCTTATACCATTTCTAAATAAAATTGGCGTGTATGTATCCTGCAGGCGTCGAGATAGGTAAATATATCTACTTATTTTACTTTTAATGTATGCATTATCAATTTATAACATCATTTTATTCTGAGTTTCGTACATACCCACCAAAAACAGGTGTGTATGTATTATGCTATTAAATTGTATACAGTAATTTCATATTTCGCAACGAGGGGTTATCAAAATGTTCTGAGATAATTGCAAAAATATAGTGCTGGACATTTTCGTAAGTAGTTGCAGATTATAAAGTTTATTTCGATGCTTATTAAACAACAAAAATACCTTACTAGAATATAAAATAGTATATCCTGATTATGATAATAGACTGCAATCAAATAATAAATTGAAGAAATTTGATGGGATCTTAATCTTGTAGATCGTTATTACACTTATGCCATATTATATTCAATCTTTACAAATGTCTCCAAAAAAGTTCTGTAGCATTCATTGAAAACAATATGCTTTATAGAGTCTAGGCCAAAATCAACTAGTAAATGTCTTAAGACTACTTTTGTTATCGACTTTCGAAGCAAATTTACTATGTTTTTTTTTAACTTTTCACTTATAACCATGGAAACAAGTTTTAATCCTCGCTATATTCTATTATATTCTGGCTTATCAAAAACTCATTACACTTAATAAATATGCCTAGCAGTCATTAATCTTTCTATGGGGTCAAACAGACCCCAAACGTTCATTTACGTCGAATTGTAGAAGGAGTAGATAAAGGTTAAGTATATATAATGCATCTTTATCGACTGATAAATGATATAAAGTACTAAACAGATTAAAGATATTTTGCAGATGTTTGACATTCAAATCCTTAAAGAGTTTTCAAGTTCTTCAACAACGATAAAACGTTTTCAAAAGACGTACATCCTTGAGAAGATACTTTTGTTAAATACAAAAACAAAAATATTATCTCATTGTTGAAATCCGTATTATATTGTAAACTCGTTGACGAAGCTGTATATGAAAACAATGTTTACGTTTCAGTAAAACCGAATCCGGTTTCCAGTATCAGATCGAATGTTATCAACAGTACTTGTATCACATTATTATGGGAAACAACAAATTCTGAACAGTTTTATCCCAAGGAACATCTCATAACAGTGTCAAGTCAAGGAGTTCCTGTAACTGTAAGTAATGCATGTAAGACATTAGTCATGATCCATCAGGACACCATCAAGCCACTATGTCCATTTTAAGAAGAGTGATGAAACTGACCAATTATCCTATGAGAAAGACGACAGCTTGAGCTGTGTTCGGTTTATGTCTCTCACCCTTGTGGATCTTTGTTTTAATAAACAAAATAAACAGATAAATTTCACTGAAAGGAGTTTTACTTAATCTTATTATAATTCTAAAATGTTTTTTCTAAAGTTTTTTGCTTGAATCAGTAGGTATTAAAATGGTATATAAACATAGCATATAAAATTGTATATTTACACAGCACAAAATGGCGGACATCCTCCCTTTCAAATGTTCCTTATCAAACATTTACATGTTCGAGTCTTTATTTTTTAAGTTACAGTTTTAATAATTATTTTAATATCTTTCCGTCTCGACATTATCTTTTGTTCTTTATCGATTAAAAACTTCATATGATCATAATAATTTGTGCTAAGACTCCATGTACATGTAAATGTCAATAATAAGAAGCATGAGCAAAACCTTGTTTGTCTTCTTATCTCTTTGGTGAGAGAATATATGGAGATATTAAACATTATTATCTATTTAGACTGATGTTTTTGTTTATAATAGATTGTAAATAATCATTTAAAGAATATAACATAACTGTAATTTTACGTTAAAGGAACTGATCATAGCTTTGCACCCTTTTCATTGCAAATTCAAATAAATCATAGTCTGTATTCCGCGTTTCCAAATTTGCAGTACCCTTGTCACTCTCAAACCAATAATACATAATACGTCAATACTGTAGACATGTTCCTGCCCGACTCATTTCAAGAAACGTGGATTTGATGATTTGATATATATGCTAAAAATGTAATTTTATTCCAATGAGTAACATTTCAATTGTAGAACATTACACTAATAACAACAAAAGACACTGAGAGCATGGAACATAAACAGACATTTTGTGATATGCATCCATACACGAAGTACAGTTTTAATGTTCGTATCAGACCTACCGGTCTTTATTCAGGTTATTTTAGCGACACAGTTGAACATACGACAACGACCTATTCTGACAGTAAGCTTATTTTTTAATATCAATTCTAAAACATTTAATTTTACGCAATTCCTCGAAGTGTTACGAACATACATGCATAACACAAGTGGTATTAATAAAGCAAAACAATACTGTTTTATTTGCATTTTTGTGCAGTTCCAAGCGCAAGTCCTGAAGTAACAAAAGGGGGCTACAGATTGGACCACAGAGAATGTGAAGATGGCAGTGAAAGAAGGCGCGTGTGTGTGTTTTGGAAGGTAGCTAGCATACTATAGTATTTGTTACTTTGAATAAAGTTGAACACACATCATATCTTACATATTATACGATATTCCATTGTCAATGGGTATTATTAAAAAATGGAAATGTTCGCAATTGGTCATTGATTTAAAAAAAGTTATAATTTATACTCATAGGGCTTTTTTGTGGCATATCGCAATGTTTTAGAAATCACACAATATAGTTATCGGGTAATTAAGGTGTTTTTATAGATTAAAAATAAAATATACACATCAAACGCTCCTTTAAAATAGAGTCTGTATTTACTCCATGTATTAATTCCCATTAGTAATTGTAAAAAAAGAATACACTCAAGAAAGTATCAGAAAGCACTATATTTAAAATCATATTTGCCTTAAGAATGTTCCTTAGTTGAAATAAAAAGCATTTGTTTCAGCCAATCAAATTTGAGGATCAGAACGGACCAATGAAAGGGCTAGTAGGAGAGTTCACAGCATTACCTCCTGTAATCCATAAAGTTAAAAACAATTGGACCAAAGACGGGATGTATGGATGTTCTACTATACTGTGTAACACAGGTTACATATTTACTATAAAAGCAAGAAATATAAATGGTACATCAGAAGAAGGTTCAGCCGTTACCATACCCGCTTTTACGAAAGGTAGACTAATCATGTACTTTATCTTTTTTATTTCGATGTTAATATGTTGTAAATTTGTTGAAAAATACATTTACCACATTACTAGAAGCCAAGTTTATGACTGTGTTTTCTATTCCCCGTCTGTGTAGACGTGTTGTCTCAAGTTTCAACGGGGGATTCTAGGAATGCCCTTCTTCCGTCAGTCCGTCAGTCTGGCTGCCAGTCTGTTTGTTTGTAACATTTTCGTGTCCGTTCTCCCACATTCTTTGACAGATTTTTACGAAACTTTGCTCATTGTTCTGCTTACTGAAGCGATTTGCAAACGGCAGAAGTCAGCCATTTCGGCTCAATGCCAAGGTCACACTTCAAGGTCAAATGCGTTTCTTGTCCGATCCATATCTCCCATATTCTTTGAAGGAATTTTACGAAATTTAACCTGGGTTTTGTGCCCGCTCCTTATCTCCCACAGTCGTAGTAGAAGGATTTTCATGAAACCTTACTCAAATGTTTAGCTTGCTAAGTCCGCTGGCAATTATTGGGTTATCGCCGTAGTTTGCACTTTTCCATTGGAACAACATTTTGGCAAAAACGAGAAAAGGATATATTAAATATCATTGTTTTTATTGTTTCTTTTTTGCATTTAATGTACCACCATTCTAATACTACGGCACCATTCAATCTCAAGTATAGGACTGTTCAGATTCATTCTTCTGACATACTTTAGGCTTACTAGTTTAATGATAGGGATTGGTGCAAATTGTCAGTTTCATACATATTTTTTCATTTGAATGTATCCTAGATCTTTAAAATTCAAACTTTAACATTCTGGATTAAAACCAAAAGTCAGTTCATGTTTTGAAATCTAATTTATTTTCTAAACTGTACTATAAAAACTCGTTAAACTGTGCTAGATAATGGTCAGCTGTATTGCTACAAAAGTATCGCGTTGGAGGATAGCTGTCCTTTGAACTGACTTGTTATTTCAGCACGCCTAGAGCCAACAGACTTTCTTAAGCTCACTGATTATCCTCCTAACATAAGAAAGTCCAAAGTCCCTGGAAGGATTAGAAAATGCAAGTAAATGGACCACGCAGGTCACTAAATGATGAGAATAGGTTTTGAAATGATGAATATTGAATGTTGATATTTCAAGTAAAGTGTGTAAAGATATTTAAAAATAAACCATAGCCCGTTGTTCAAAGAATGACACAAAAGTTTCATGACCACCGCAGTATGAACAAATCTGTAGATGTTTCAACTTTCAAAACTATTTACCATTTGCATGTGTCAATATTGAGTGGATTTATGGCGCGGCATGTTAGCAGTTTGTATTTTTCAATTTAACTTTTTACGTATGCTCCAATAATCTTTCACTTAGGTACTGCACGACCGCAGTTTATCGTCGAATCAACCAATTCATCTGATGTCTTTATCAGTTGGACATATACAGGCAATGATACACCAAGATCATTTCTAGTTGCTTGGTGTCGGAACGAGAACGGAGATTGTCGGGTAAGAACGATAACCATTCCCAATTACCAACCCTGATTTACTAATTTTGGATGTCAATTTACGCTTTTGTCATATCCTACAAACAGAACATTCGTAATCAAATGGAAACATATGTTGAGTACTTTTCAACAATGAAATAAATAAAATCACTCACAAAATATTGTAATGTGTAAAGTATTGACATTTTTTTTCTTAAACAGAAAGCACAAAACAAAATGTGTGACATTGAAACTAAAACCTCATAAACAATTCTACACCAATATATACAAATTAAAGGAAACACAAATGAGAATAAAACACACGATCGGGATTGACTTTGAATATTCATGCATTACATATATGTGCAAACATATCAAACATATAAATGAGTTTTAAATAATGTAAACCCATGTGTAATGCAAAAGTAATGATTCAAACGAAATGTCACATTAAAATAAAATAGAATGTAACCAATATGGCGCTTAAAAAGATTCATTCTTGTCAGTGTTTTAGACCAATTACCCATAAATGATCTTATTTCTATAATGACACTATAATTTTATAGCCCGGACACGAGGTTGGTTGGAGAGAAGTCACAGGAAACTCAACTGAAATCACCATTTTCTATTGACACGCCACAAGACTATGTGTATGGTGTAGGTGCATTAACAGAAAATGATGATAGCAGTGGTGTAGAATGGCAGGATTGCGTTTATCTGAAACATTCAGGTGAGAACGTTTGTACTAATGTAACTAATTGATACAATATTATCTTTACCATAAAATGATACATACAGATTTATATACTTAAAAAGAGAAGGTTTAAACTCTAGCGAAAGAGACTTTTTGTGTGATGTAAAATAATATTGTAGATACAAATATATTATAATATCCTTCAAAGCCTTGTCTACAGTCTGTGTCTTTAGCTTCGTGCTCGTTCATGTTCAATTGTTTTCTTTTTCGTAAGCTTAATGTTTAATAATTCATTAACATTAGTACATTACCTTACCTAAGGAAAACTCCAACACACATTCATTGCCCAGTGCTTCATTAACAAACGCAAAAACTTTTTTTTTCACTTGAAGTACCTAAAAGAAGACCCGAGAATGTCGTTGTATCGACTGGTTCGGAAGATAACAGTTTAGTTGTCACATGGGAGAAACTGTCGTGTACATCAAATGAACCGTACATTGCCATGTACAATATACAGTACTACAATGGTGAACAGCGAAGATGTAAGGCACACCAGATAATATGTTCTTCTTATTACCAATGTTGATTAGCACTTGTTACAATAATTTTAATTTGACATCCCTTGGTAGTTAGTCATAAAACTAATTAAACTTGTGAAAGATCATACTCAATTATTTTACCGCTTGTACTACTTTTACATGTATTTATCACTTATAATTTTTCATATAAATCTATAATTTGTGATTGGTTAATCTTTTTTATACCTGTTATTATTAATTGGTCAAACCATTTTATCATATTTAATATTACTCAGATCACATAAATAATTCTTAAAACTTCTGTCTCTATCTAAGGTCTTTCCTGGAGTCCTCTGACCAGACAAGAGAGAAAAATAGACTGTTAATCTTGTGAAAATATTAATTCAACATCCGTATCGCACATTGCATTGTCATATCTTTATTAATTGTTTTTGTTTTATTTTTAACTAGCACGTAATATGTCAGAATCAGAAACAGCGAGGTTGGTTTTGAGAAATCTGAACGAAGACCAAACGTATTTTGTGACCGTAAGGGCCGTTACTAAGAATGGAATATATGGTCCAGAGAGTTTGCCTCACACCGGTGTACCAAGGAATAAAAGTAAGATCACTTCTTGATTAAAATTAAGTAAAGGTTTACTAATATAAATAAATTTTGTGGACATATAGAGTACATTTCTATATTTGTAAGCAGTCTTTTTTGATAGAAGGTTCCCGTCCACTTTCATGACAACAACCATTTTCAATCTCATTGTTACATTTCCATTTCACTATTTTTATTCTTAATGACAGAAGTAAACTATTGATTTTAGTGAAGTATATTATTGTTCTGTCTCGTCTTATTTCCTTACGTTTAAATTCAGAATACATTTGACATTATGTTGTGCAATTTATGAGATTTTGTTATTAATTAGAATTCTTTTAAAACTCGATTAGTTTTTTGTACATTGTGTAATTCCCAAAATATGTCACAGTCGCCTTGTTTCACAACTAATTACTAACTTCTTTTTATAGATGTTATCTTTTGAACATGGCGCAGATGAGTAAGTTTATATTTGAGAATATATTTCACTTCTACATAATGTTATCTTGTTTTAGCTTTGAAGTCATCCGAAATAGTGGGTATAACGCTTGGTGTTCTAGTATGTGTTATTTTCGCCCTCATTGGACTCGTCTATGCAGTGAGGTAAATATGTAAAATTCGATCATAAAAATAGTGTTAGTGTGAACATCTGCAGTTTGTTTTATCCATCGTTTGTATAATATATATAATATTGTAAAATAAACTGTACCTGTATCATTACAATACAAAAAGAGTACTGAAATGTTCATTAATTCTGAGTGTTTGTGTAGCCGTTATACACGATTCATTAATTCGACTTTTGGGTCCTCCTTGGCATATGTCTAACTTAATGTTTTAAAAAGTAATGCATGAAATTAAATCGATATAAATATGTATATATTCATGTGTTGGAAAATCATTTGAGCTGTTAAGTTTAATTACATTATGGTAAAAAAAGGAAAAGGTGATGCATTATGATTATGTCATAAAATAAATATTATGCCGGCAGCTGTGTATCAGATTGTATGTCTAAAAAGATATTTAGCTTTGATTGTTTACTAAATCTTTCATTTATTTGATGTATAATGTAATGCTCTGCAATGTACATAATCATTCTTAAGGTAGCTCGCTACTTTCCGACCGAAATTTGACAACATCTCAGATCTTGATGATTTTTTGTATGCAAACATGTAGATATGCGAGCTTTACTTCTGCAGTAATATTTTATAAATAAACAGCGTTACTATGACGTCAAAGCGCCCTCTATCGGTGGCGGCGAAATTGCGTCTTTTTCTCAGTAAACCAGTCTGTTCTTATCAATTTTCATCCGATTTCCTTCGTTTTAATTTTATAGTGTTCAGTAAATGTATGTCTTTGTAATGATATCTTTCTTTAACATTTGCTTAATAGTCTGCGATTCTACGTCATTTTTCTCTACATTCTGACGTCCATATCTGATGCAAATACCGCGCGATATCGCAATAAAGATTGTGTATTAAAAAAAATTCAACACGGTGAACTTTGCTATAATTTTTCGAGCGTGTAGCGAGAAAGTGAAGGAAAATATTTATGCAATAAAAATATAGGGTCAACGCGTAAGATATTTTGCTATTACTGTTTTAAAATAAAATAAAGGGAATGTAACGTAATGGTTTTGGTGGCGTTAATAGACGTTGGAGTTCAAAGAATAATACCAAATAACAATTTTCTTACGTCAAACATTACGATTGTAAGTATTAACAACACAGGAACTTGATGAAATGTATATTTTGTAAATTGTTGATTATTTTCTCATTGAAAGCATGCGCTAGATCAGCAAATTTACAATGTTTAATCGTAAATACGTTTCTAATTTGCAGGACGCAGTCTCAAACATCTTTTAATTTTTATTTTATATTTTGATGTTTGTAATGAAAGAGTGAAAAGTGTTATATTATTATATGAATTAACTAGTTTAAGCGCAAAAAATAAGATTCACATATTGCTGTAAGAATGAAGTAAGAATATTAGGTCGCGTAGCTTATACCCGTTAGAATATTTATTTTAAGTTACATTCAGTTTTTAAACACTTTCATAAAATCACATACAGTCAGACGAGCCTCGGTGTCAAAACACATGGTAAAAATGCAATTAAAATAGATATGCATACAAATGTGCAATAAGTGATAAATTTAATTCAGAAATAATATTCAAGTATGTTAAGAGTATTTAAAAACAAACTGTACAAGAAACAAAAACATTTATTTTTGCTTACCATTTTTAAGTATGTGCAATACATAGATTATATAATTATAATCTAATTAAAATTTCATAATTAGAAAATGACAAACTATAAAACTTTTTGGAACTCGGATTTACGTATACCTACTTACCGCTTTTTCATGACAGTATAACAAAGCGGCCCTCAAAATATTATTTATTTCTAAAGGGCTCCACTACATTTTACCTCTGTAGAGCAACCGCTCTAGGCAACAAAGGGCATTTCTCTGTAGATGTTATCCTGTTTATTTTAATTAAGTACAAAATATAATTATTAAATAACTTGTGCAACTTTTGTTACCACTGAATACGAATTATGTATTATGTTGACGTTATCGTGTTCATTTTTTTAATACATGCAGTTTGCTTTAAAAAAAAATAGAAAAAAAACAAAACGAAAACACACACCAAAAACACGTGTTTATGATGTAAACAATAAAGTGGACTTCTGCCTTATTAAGGGAGATCATAATCAGGTTTTTAACTTTGAATATTCTTCTGTTGCCACGGTGTAATCGGTAAAGTGGTCTAACGCTGAATTCGGAAGGCATGAATTCGAGAAACGATTGCGTATTGTACGAATAGATTATCCTTTAAAATTGTTTACTGTGTATGAAATGTTTCAAGGTCCACCTCGGACTCCTGTCATTTATTTCCGTAGAAAAGTTGATACTGTGAGAAACACTGGTTTTGTTAAATTCCCTCCCCTATAATTGAAATACTGTTGAAAGCGGCGTTAAACCAAATATTAAAAAATAAGAAGATATAAAACATAAAATGCATAGTTCATTTCTTTCATAGGCTCTACATAGCACTGTATTATGTGCAGACAAAAACGAGCTTCTCCGAAAACCATATTCACACAAATTGAGGATCCTACATGATCGTCTTCAATAAAGGGAATATGTATTAATTTTAATATGCAAAATTATCCGCTTATGAACATACAAAATAAATCAACGGATCTTTCGCCTCGAATCGAGAAATGATGGCGGCTTCAGGTCGCCTCAAAGATGCGCTAGTAAACGCATACCGCGAGTCAGCGAGTTTTAAATAAGAATATCTGTAATTATGTGAAATGCGTGGATGCGCGGATGCGCAGGCTGGTCTGGATCCATGCTGGTCGCAAACGCACTATGTTGGTTTTGTCGTGACGCGGCTCAAATAAATTTTATACGGGTAGAAAAGTTTTAAAATAAATGTCTGCTAGATTTATATAATTAAGACTACCAGTGAATCATGACTTACGGTCAAATCGTTGTTACTTCGAGTTGATCATACATTTTTAAAACGTAAATTTGATTCATTTCCTACTAACTGATATATACAATTCGAAAATGTAACATACGTATGATAACATGGAAGTTTATGTAGTACCGAGATACACATAACATGATGACACTGCGACTGCACCAGCCTTTTCATTCTTTTTTTTTCTGACATTCTTTGCAAAATTTATGTTTGTATTATTTCCACTTAGGTGGCCTTTTAATTATATCTTTTAATATTCTGAATTGTCTTTCAGTTCTCGAGGTATTTATAACCATTCGTTTCAGTTTTTTAGAGATTGATACAAACTTTTGCAGACAGTCATACCCTGATTTGTTGTACATGTATAATATTGAAGTTGTTCATCGAAATGCAGGCATCTGACAGAACTTTTAAAAGAACATTTTACGGAATATGTCTAAATACAATTGTTGTTGATGGTTTTCACACATTTTTAATTCCAGTCAGTATATACTATTTCATCGGAAAAGTCGTGACAATTTCCTTGAGAAAAAATATTTGACGTCGCCAAAATCATTACGTTTACTCATCCTTTATTTTATATTCAAATAGTAATAGCAAATATCTTACGCGTTGACCCTATATTTTTATTGCATAAATATTTTCTTTCATGACTTCACTACATGTTAAAAAAATTATAGCAAAATTCACCGTGTTGATTTTTTGTTATTTTACAATGTTTATTGCGATATCGCGCGATATTTTGTATCAGATATGGACGTCAGAATGTAGAGAAAAATGACGTAGAATCGCAGAGTATTAAGCAAATGTTTAAAGAAAGACATCATTACACAAAGACATACATTTACTGAACATTATAAAATTAAAACGAAGGAAATCGGATGAAAATTAATAAGAACAGACCGGTTTATTGATAAAAAAAGACGCATTTCGCCGCCACCGATAGAGGGCGCTTTGACGTCATAGTAACGCTGTTTACATGTAAAATAATGCTGCAGAAGTAAAGCTTACATATCTATATTTATGTATACCAAAAATCATCAAGATCTGAGATGTTGTCAAATTTCGGTCGGAAAGTAGCGAGCTACCTTAAATGCTCAGAAGTGGGTTGCCTTTTTTTAATTTTTGATCGTAATTAAATTGTTCTATTGAAATTTTTATTAATGTATTCACAAAATGTGAAAAAAAACTTACAGGAGATGCAAGACGAAAGCACAAGAAGCCATTAAACAAGCTGGAAACATTACAATACCAGAATGCCCAGAACTTGAAAAGAATGCATCCGTATGTGTAGATATTCATTTGAGCTAAATATTTGTTCATTATTTCCCTTTTTTACCTAATATGATTTACAGTTATATATCTCCTAATAAATCTAGTATTACAAATATGAAATATCATAACTATTATGAATAGTTCGTAAACAGTATTATTTATTATATGACTTGACAAACATATTGAATAACTGGATCCAGAAAATATTTATTACATTCATTGTCCTTGGATCATATATAATACAACTAACATTCTTCTTGTTGTATTCTTTGTCTTAAAGTGTCGATAACAATAGCAGTTGAACTGTCATTAATTTACAGTTTGCCAGTATAAGCTATATCCATTTAAATGGTGACAGACCTGAAATTATATAAATGTCACATATCACCAAGGGTAATAATACGAAATGTAGAATACGAATAGAATTGACATGTTTTGTTTGTCGAGGCGTCTTCAATACTCGTTACATGATTTTATTATTGAAATTGTATGGGGTTATAGACGAACCTTATTTCGGACAAGTAAAACGGGTAAAAACAAAAGACAAAAACAAAAATGATATTGCTTTTTGTAAAAGATCTTTTTTAACAATAATTACATATCCAATTTTTCCTTAGAGCAAAACACTACGTTATATCATAACATACAAAAAAACATATCACCATGGAGACTGATAGCAATTTCATACATAGTACATTTTCATATATAAAGTGATCATACATTGATTAAAATGCATAAACAATACATTTAGAATGCTAATTTCAATGAATTATAACAAACTTTAATGATAATGTCACATTACATTTATAAGTGGTTAGTAATAATTCTAGAACGTTATTTTAAATCCACAAAAAGTGGTATCATAATGCTGAGGATAAACTTAAACGTAATTTGATAAACATGTATATCATCAAAAAATATACGTAAAGAAACAATAGACATGTTTTAGTATTATGATTGAAATTTGATCCACAGAGATTAAAATTTAGGCGAAAATTATATGAAAATATTTTCAAAGCTGTTTTTTTTTATTATTTGTAATTGTCAAGGACTCGCGACATGTTTTCAAGGATGAACTTTTCACTCGTACCCGCGTTGTAATATGGTTTTTATTATTAAACCATTTTCATCGATATTCGGGACTGACAACTCAAAATAATAACAAATAATTAAAAACCAGGCATCTGATATGCGCGTGAGTACCGCTTGATAATTTTGTCAAAATATTCGTGTTAATGGGAGTGGCCTAATACATTTTAACAAGTACTAGAATAATTTTTATTGAAGTAAAACCATGGAAATTGACAATGAATGTCATAAGTTCGTACCGAAAAAGAAAAGTAATGCCTTCTCGTTCTTATATTTTCAGTTGACTCGTCAAAATAGCAAAGACAGTGGTTATGAGAAAACACCTCCTTTGGACAAGAAAATGAAAGGAAGCAACATAATAATAAACTTACCATATGATTACCTGTGTGCTACTGCCTTTACAAATGAAACACAAGATACAACAGCATCGCACTGCGTTCCTTCAGGAACCCCTGACAAATCAATGATAGTATCTGAAATGTCAAGAGATGATGAAACATCCATAGGCGACTATCCTTTACAACTTAATACTCTTAAGTGCACATCTGCGGAAAGCATGTACTCATGTAAACAAGACAACTGTGTTGGCGATTTATCAAAAAAAGAAAACACAGACCTTGTTGAATGCGCTAAGCAGTTGTCAAATTGTATTGATACAAATCATAACAATATTTCTATATTGCCCACTAAGTATGTTTGTCTTGAAAACAACATAGAATCAGTAGCACACAATGATGATAGCACTGACAAATCTAATCCTTACATTACACCAACACACCAGTATTTATCCAGGGTTCAATTACATTCGTTTTCTACGGATATATTCAAGCAAGATCATGACCAAGAGCAACAAACAGATACATGCAATTTACCCGATCAGTCTCAAAAGTGCGGAATAATCAGATCTATCAATGCATCAAATTACGTTCCTTTTGATGCCACAAGTTTCATACCATCTCAACCTGACACTGACAATGCCGGATCGGAAGATACTGAAATTCCAGAAAGTAGCGATTCGATTGTCTCTCCTAAACTAGATATTGATTTGACGTTTTTGTCCGCTTTCGGCAATGCACCAGGAATGAATCCGGAATCGCCATCTTTTTCAACGATGACTGAGTCTGTTAAAAATGCCACTTCTAATGATGATGCCTATTCCTCTCAAATCCCTGTTGAATTTGACCAGAGGAAAGATTCAGGTACTGTCGCCGATTTGGATACAATCGATGATCACAACCAGCTTCAATATTGTATTAAATATGCATCTGACGAAGAACAAAATCTAAGTTCTGTTCCGTCATCTGATGAAGAGACGCCTTTCTGCAGCAGCCATGAACAAAAGCCTAAATCAAATTTTACAAGCGATTACGTTCCTCATTCGCTTGCAAATATTGTCCAATAGAAATGTCATTCACGGGATCCCTTGAGAGAAAACAGTCAAGATGCAAATACTGACACGACCAAACATGCCAAATATAAAGATGATATGGAATTGAGCAATTATTCTCATTATGTAGCTGGACAAGAGAGCAGCATACCGTTGTCGTCTACTCACACACAACGCTCGGCATGAATCAAGGGATGCAGAAACCGTATTACTATGGCATCAAGTGCTCATAGATTTTCAGCAAATATTGGAAATGGCATTGTTAGGTATATCGATATATATACAAACATTTTTTTAAAGAACAAGAGAACAATATAACTTTTATAAATACATAACACATTTTGAAACATTGGATAAAACACAGGATTTCTTAAGGCATGTAATGTTTTACTTGGAAATATTGTTCATGGTCATAACTGTAAACTATGTATACTATGTAAAAAATAGTTTATATTGTCTTTGCTGTAAATATTGTGCCAAATAATGATATATTCAGTTTATACTGTACAAAACCGTAAACATTTATAACGAATATATATTTGTTTATGATGATCATAAGTACAGTATAATATCTGTTTGTTATATATTTGTGTATGCTTTCTTTCCCAACGGTAATAATAATTATCACCAACTGTAGACGTCCATCTAGGATATGAATGTAATGTATCAATTCAAATTTGAGTCTAAACCTTGTGCGATGTATGAATGTTATTTTTATCTCTAAAAGAGTTTTTCATATACAAAGGAGAAAGGAAATATTGTAAATAATTAGTTTAGGTTTACTTGTATATACATGATCGTTTTTATATATGTCAAGCGAACTTGCAGTTCATTTTCTATTGTTTCATGTTGTTTACTTTGTATTGCTTCTTTATTAAATAGCTTGTGTGGAAAAATATATTTTGCTCATTTTTGTCCCATGAACGCTCACTATTTTCATTATGAAATAGTTACGGAGACTCCCTCAAAAAGACTAAAAGAATATTTAATATATATTTTAATTTCACCATGTGTAATTCTGACATGTTTGTTGTCAAACGGTTATAATCTGGCAAAGAATTTAGTATGCATGGCATTATCAAAAAACAACATTTAAAAAAACGAGGTGCGTTTAGACTATCTATTATCTTTATCGTCTGTTGTAAACTAGCGGAATATAAACAACGGGGGTATATATTAATTTGTATTCCAGTAATGGCAAACCTCTCTAAAAGACGAAGCCACTCCCTCATTTTATGCGTTAAGAGGATGGACAATGTTTATTTCATTAAATATCATAACGAGGTGTATTCTTGTACATCATATATGGTCATAGTGTAATAGTTTGATCCAGAAAACATCAAAAAATGCCATTTTTTAAGGAAACTTGCATGGGTTTCAGTGAAGAATAAAAAAATTACAAACTTTACATTACCGATTCTTGAAATGTTGAACAAATAGTTTCTGTCAGCACATATAGCTCATTTCGAACCTTTTATAAATCAAGCTTGAATTGTTTATAAGCATGCATGTGTGGCACAAGAATAATTCTTAAATAAAAAAAGTGATTATGAAATTTTATTAACGAAATCAAATGAAAAAAATAAACGGTGTAACATTTATGATTCGTCCATCATTTCTAAAGATATGTAATTCAATATAATTATGTTATAAAGACACTAATTCGAACCTTAAGGTAAAACTGTTGTTGTAGACCATCTTGCTTTCAGATTAGAGAAATGGAAAAATCATATTACAGTTGCTGACATAAATATAAATAAATAAATTCTTAAATACAAACGTTCAAACTATTGTAAATTGGTATGACTTAAATCAATCAAAGTACTCCGTAACAAGTTTTAAAGTCACTATGAAGTTTAAAAATACAGGTTTGATATTCGCTTTTTTGGTGTATCAAGCCATACTATAAATGTTGTAGTTAGCTATTCAATTTAATTCCCTTTTTTATATCTAAAAAGAAAGAGCATCGGCTTCAAACTCTATGGGGTTTCTTGCCATCCATGGACGAAGCGTTATTTCTACGTGACAATTGATCTTAAATATTTGATCTAATGGTCATTCATCTCTCACAGCTGACTCATTAATTATCTAGGATTAGTAGTCGGTCACTTGCGGTTTAATTATCTGGCGGACATACCGTCGAGATGAGACAATAAATTGTTAAAACCAACCAAACAAATCGTTCTTATAACCCAAATAATATTTATTATGACTGTTCAAAAATTGTGATTCAGAAGTCTGGTAATGCTTAACAGGAGCATGTCGTTGTTTCATTGGGCATGAAACTTTACACTTTATGTAATACTAGATGGGTCCAGGAACGATTTCTCCCTTAAATGCTTATATCGGACTAAAATGAATTCTTAATTAAAATTGGATTGGTGAATTCTTATATTTGTAACGCAATAGTATCTTATAACGAAGAAATAGGATTATTAAATAAATTTGCCCACTAAGTATGTTTGTCTTGAAAACAACATAGAAAAGTTATTTATCCATGAAATACTAAAATATTAACTCATTTAGATTTTAACTCACTTCTAAATTAAAACAGTACGTTAGAAAAATCTTGATTTGCATATGTATAAGGTTCGTTAAAATTTAAACCCACTTCTTTGAATACCAATTTCTTAATGTAATCATCATTACATGTGCCTTTCTGTTATAAGAATACCACCAGCTGCCTGTTATAAAAAAAATATAATATCATAATTGATAAGTCCTAATGGTGGATATAAATTGATAAGCACTATGTATCTGTTTGAATCGTATTTACTAAGGTTCCATGTTTTTCCGGAAGTCCCGGTCTCATATTACATACCACATACATATATAGTATGGTGGTATCACATACATTATAACATTAGCCTATAGGACATCACATCCCTCCTCAAGTTAGATATAAAACATCAGTTTTAAATTGAACAATTAAAATGCTTAAATCATTAAGATATGAATTATGAAAATATTGCATTATAGCTATGTAAACTAAACTGATATTACTAATTTAAAACATGATAAACTATTCTTAAAATTTATTTGATTACGATGGAACACATATAATGAATCTAACTGAAAAACTCATCCCAATATTTTTTTCTCTAGAATTGTCACTCATGTCCAATAAAATCTAGCTGTATGTATATAAGATAAACACATTCCAATCGTCTGTAGGTCAGTTCTAGGTCAGTTTTACTATCGTCTGTAGTATCTAAATATATACACTACATGAGCAATATCGAACATTTACACTATACAAACATGAATATTTATTTTGTTCCATACTAGATTTCTCTTTCATGAAATCTGATAATTTGTTTATTTCAGTTCCGCTATTTTCTTTTAAATATTTGTTGTTAAATGCATTGTTAATGTCCACACTTTATTAGAACTTCAATGTACTTTAAAAATTATCATTTAAATCATGTTGCCGTATATAAAGTGTCATGTTATTATTGCGCTATTAAATATTAATTTTACCATTGATAATCTAATTATATAAAATATATCCAATATCTATACACTTATTGAACTCGCATGGCAGATCGCATGACCTGCTTGTTCCACTGGGTTTATTATGCCCATTTTCACTGTGGAAATAATAATCTAACTTACAAAATCTTTTAAATATGCGGGCGGGCGACTATCTCGTACTGGCTTTGCCGCATAATTCGTGTTTTGCCTTTCAGCGCGTTCCATTCCCTGATAGTCCTCAATATCGTTTTCCCCGTGCTTTTTAGGCATATTCCCTACCATGTCTAGATCTACTGTTTTCATAACAGATGAGTTCCTGGTGACACAATGCCCTGCATCATTTTGAACACTTATCATTGGTGCTTTTTTATCTGTAACTGTATATGGACTGGATCACACATGATTTTCTTGGTGTTTCGTTTCTTAATAAAACTCTGTCTCAGACGTTAATGTTTCGTTCTCATGCGTTCATTCGCTGGTCCTCGTATTGTTTTGATTTCGAATTTGATAACTCATCATTTCTTCGTGCTGTCTCGTCTGCACGCGTGTCCTCATTTTGGTGTTGATTAAAGTCTGGCATACGCGTTACCGGTTCCCTTCCGAACATTAACCGAAATGGCGTAAACCCAGTTGACAAGTGCGGTGTAGCTCCGTACTGGCGGAGAAATCTGAACAGTTTTTGTTTGAAATTCCTTCTCTCCATGAATGCCGATTTAACACTCTGCATCAACGGTTTGTTGAATGCTTCTGCCTGTGCATTAGCCCTTGGCCTTTTGGCGTGATTTTTCTGTGCATAAAACCATAAAATTTTGCAAAGTTCGCAAATGCCGTACTATGAAATGGTAATCCATTATCTGTTTTTTATCACTTGGGGACACGAAACATTGAAATAATTTTGTTCATAACCGGTATGACCGTATTTGCTGAAACACTCTTTACTGTTTCAACTATTGGATATCTCGAGTACTCATCTACTGTAACCAATAGATAATCACCGTTTTCTAAAGGTCCACAAAAATCTGCACTCATATTTTTTCAAGGTCCAGATGGCAAATCTGACATTTTCAGTGGTTCTCTCGGTCTTTGTTCCCTTGAGTTAGCTTGACAGGCTAGACATTTTTGTATTGCTTTTTCAATTTCTGCATTCATGTTCGAAAACCATACCTTGGATCGTATATAGCTTTTAGTTTTAACAATTCCCCGGTGCCTTTCATGTCCCAGTTTTATCGCATGATTTCGGAATGTTTTTGGTATCACTTATTTGTCATTTCTTAAGACCGTGTCTTTGTGAACCGTCAATTCATGTTTAATTTACGCTTCTGAGTACCGCCAGCTCTTCCATTTCAATTTTAAAATGTGTCACTGTTTTCACTTCATGCCATTTTCCATTATTCGAAATTCAATCGCTTTCTGTTAGTTTTATTCCTTTAAAAACTGACATACTATTTTTACATTTCTAGTGCATTTATTTGGGCCTGCCTTTGCCCGGGAAAAAAAATGCTACTATTTATTGGCTGTTATTTCCTTCTGCTCGTCACGTTTTCAACGGGATGGGCGAGACATGTAATCAGAAAGGGTTATTCCTTTTTCCCAGGGCCTATATTCAAATTTTTAAAATTAACTGGGTTGTAGACGGTTTAATCCCCATTCGCTTCAAATTTCGTGTATTTTGGCTGTTTTTCTGCCATTTATTTCGTCCAGTGGCATGTGAATTTTTAAGCACGTGAAAGTATTTTGATCACCCCTCTTAAGGTGAATTAGTCTCCACGGGACCATACTACTGCCACAGCCTCTCTTTCTGTTTGCGAGTAACGTGATTCTGTCTGTGTCAGTGCACGAGACGCGTACGCGATAATTTTTCCTTTCTGTGTGAGTATCCCAGATATACCGACTGGTGAAGCGTCTACTATTAGCTCAATTTCTTTTAATGGACTTAAATATGTGATGACCGTATCACTACTTAACTCGCTTTTTAGTTTTCCAAACGCGACTTGCTGATCATTTTCCCATGACCAGGGTGTGTTCTTTTTTGTTAAACGCCTCAATGTTTCCGTTATTGTCGCATAATCCTTTATAAATCTCGAGCAATACGATGTCATTACGAGAAAACTCCTCAACGTTTGTTGGCTGTTGCATGTCTCTCACGACTTGAACCTTCACTGGATCTGGTGAAATGCCGTCTCCTCTGAATACAACACCAAAGAATGTGATTTTAAGCTTGTTAAATTCACATTTTTCTCTATTTAATGTCAGCCCGTTACGATGCAATGCATGAAAAACTTGATCAAGTGCCTTGTCGTGATCTTTTTGACTGTTTCCATACACTATTATATCATCCGAAATGTTCTTGGCACCAGCTATGTCTTGAATGATGGAACTGATTGTTTTCTGAGAAATACTTCACTTGCAGAGCTAGTACCGA